CAGTGGCCTGCGGCTTGGGTAGCAGGTGAGTATGAGGTCAACGGCTCAGAGCAATTTCTTCACTATAAAAAATCTGACGCGCTTGAGGCTACCACGGGGTGTTAATACCCGCGGCTTCGTAGAATTCGGGCCGCACAGTCAATACAATGTGTGTTGGGAGGGACGGACTGACGATCAGGCTGCAATGTGGCCTTTGTGGCACTCCCGCTTAGTTGGGGTCCGAGCCGCCCCCTGTACTGGTTTTGTTTGTGATGGCCCACATTGCTTGGAAATTAAAAACTACCCAATGGCAAACGGGGTTCCTTACTTGGCTGTAGAGTTAATCTTGGCGTGCTGTCGATGGCGCGTGCCCCCATGTTTTTGATTTTATTGCAACCAGAAATCCCACACTGACCTGCAGGGAAATGCCTCTTCACAAGTAATTTCCAAGACTGGGAACTGATTTTATTCATGAGGGTGTCCGTTTAATCGGGGTCTGTTGTTTAGACACAGGTGAAGGCAGCGTCCCCGTTTTTCCTAATTATATTTGGCCTGGCACGAAATTATTCAAGTTCCTGAAATTACACCGGACAGACTGGACGCATGCTTGCTTCGAGCATGCACAAATATAAGCTGGCTGTCAGACGGGGTGACGCATGATCAAAACTGGCTGCCCGCACCTATGAGACGGGCGACGAATTTAAATTTTGCAGCCGCGAAGATAATTGCTCACGATGGCAGCAAGATGAGACGAGAAATAATTGAAGCCTGATGACAACTCAGTCAACCGATGTATCGAGCTGGCGCCCACATACATCGCCCTGCACAAGCATCTCCAAACTCACAGCACCGGTTTAATTGGTCCTTCCCTCCCCCCTCTCCACCCCTCTCCCTTATAAATTTTGATTGGACCCTGCCTCCTATAAATTTTGCTTGTTATTCGTTGGCGATTTTATCTCTGACGACAGACTCCTCCAAGAACTGAAAACTCAGAAGAATAAAAGTGTAATTCCGGTGATTGAAACCCTGTGGCGACCTTGTATTTCTAAGCCATGTTTCCCTCGGACGCCGCCGGGACAAGCCTTTCAAGGTCACC